GTTCTTTCAGCACTGGCTAACCTTTTTGCTCCTCTGGTAGCTTTGTTTTCTTCTGGGGCTGTGGCAGCAGGATCTGGATGCCTTTCAGGAGCGTGAAGACAATGGTGGTGTGATTGTCTGGTGAGGGAGAAGAGATGAAGCGGTACTGTGCAGCAAGCGCTCTGATGGCAAATGAAGGAGGAGAGCAGGATGCGTTGTCCCCTCTGAATCCCTTGGGGCTTGTATGGAGGCCAAGGAAGGGTGGTCGAGCGTATGGGTTACCCAGATCTCCTTGACTGGAAAGCTGTTTGGGGGCTGCAGGGCAGGGGTGGCGTGTCCCACCCTGGGTCTTCTGCAGGGGTGGAGGTTCCCGAGTGGCAGATGGGAGGCTTGCAAGGACATGGTATTTGGAGAGATAGGGGACACGCATGCACAGCTGCCCCCACGCACAGATGTGCGCTCAGCCTTGAGCCCTCACGGGTGGCTTCCCTCAAGAGGAGCTCCGTGCCCCTGCCCGTGCGGTGGGTGCGGGCAGTACGTCCAGCCTCAGCAGGACCGGCCCCTCTGCTCGGTGTAAAGGCACAGACGGTGCCACAGTGACGCCTGGTGATGGGAGATGGATTCACGTCTGGCACCTTCCCAGCCGTGCATGCACCGCATCTGCGCAAAGCAGCAACCCTCAAAACAAGAGAAAAGCAAGGCGTGCGTGATAGGAGGTTTTCTCTGGAATTACAGGTGTTTTCCCTAGCAACTTTAATGCCTTTTAAAGACAACGTAACCAATTTTTCCCAGCTGAGAAGCAAGCTTTTTATCTAAAGGTTAGAAAAGCAAGACCGTTAGATAAAGGTCATTGGTAAAGTGTGATAAGGCACAGAAAAGTACCCAGTGCAAAAGGTATCACAGGCTTTAACGCAGTCTGAAACAGCAGCTATTTTTGGGTTGCACACTGATTTGGTCTGCTCTTCTTTGACAGTCAGGGCTGCCTGCGGGTTGGCAGGCGATGCAGAGCAAGAGCCAGCCTGCGCTGCATCCCGCGGGTACAGCTCTGCCCTACCAAGGCATGATGGCATCTGTCCTTCCTACTCAGCCAGGCTGAACGTGCCAGCCATGCAGGCTACGGCAGGATGAATGAGGCGGGTCTGAGAGATCACACATCTCTTCCCAAGACACACCACCCGAGCTGAGGGGTTTTATCTGCCTGGCTTTGATTATTTGTCCCTGCGAGGTGCTACAAGGAGTTGTGGCTTGGGGACAATTGTCCCAGGGACAATTACTGCAGGATTAATGTCCATGTGAGAAAGATCACAGTCTTTTCTACACATGCCCAGCTGTCTCTCCAGAGCAGTATCTCAGTGCATTCACTCTCTGAGGCTCTGTGTAGTTAAATACAGGCTGTGCCCTTGCAACAGTTTGCACTGATTAAATGTCTCTCCCCACCGGTCTCCTGAAGACCCTGGCAAACACATGTCTTTGTCCCAGATAATACAACAGGTAGCTCCTGTGCAACACGATGCTTCTGGCTTGTCACTAACTGCGAATACATGTGATGGGTTAGGTTTTTTCTGTTTATTTTTCTGGTGGCAATAGGCTTTTGCATTAAAAAAACTACGTTTGAGAATGCCCTAGCAGTGCAGTGAGGCTCTCTAACAAGGTGGAGACTCAAGCTGAACAGTGCACCTTACCCAGGGGAATACCCAAGTGTGGGGTGGTTTGAGCTAACAGACATTTCTTGACAGTCTTGGAGCACACCAGCATGGAAGTCTGTTACCGTAGCTTGACTGTGGAACAGTAGCTCAAGCATCTGCCTGTAGGTATCAGAATCCTGTAACTCTGCTGATTTTTAACCAGAACTTGACAGTGATAAATGATAGGGAGCAGAACACTGGCTTGCTGACACCCACTCGACCATCAAAGCAAGATTAGTGTGTGTCTATTTTGGTTTCCCCTTTAATCAAAAATCAATTAGACAATTTTCAAATGAATATTCAGTCAAGAAGCCAGGTTGTCAGGCAGACTGACAGCACTTAACACCACTTTCTTTGTGTTTTTCAGCTTATTCAGTGTACTGAATCTAAACAAGTGGATGAGGAAGGAAAAATACCTTTCTCTTTCCCCAAAGATGTTCCAGTCGGTGTCACCCCAAATTTTGATGAAGGTTATTCTCCATTGCAGGTGTTCAAAGCATCCTCCATGTAATGCCACTGAGCCTCGTGTTTGGCTGCATGGCTTTTTTCCTTCTCCTGCTCCCATCTGACTTGCAGCCCAAAAGATTAGTTGCTTTATTTCTGTTTTAGGGTGTATGTGAGAGTATTTTTAACTTGGTTATTGAAGTAAACAAGAGTTATGCAACAGCTCTTTGCTCATGAAGTCTCTGCACCCACTTCCCTATTTGCCAAAGAAATTTCTAAAAACCCACTAGGCAATTTTGACTGAATTGGACGGAAAGGAACTATTTCAGAGATGCCTCATTTTCCAACAGGCCTGCACCACGTACATCCTCAAAGATGTGTGAAGCAGCTGTGTGAAGGAAGGAGTCTGGTTCTTAAGGGGAGCCTTGTGGGACACCAAAAACCCAGGTCTGGATATCTCTGCATTGGAAGAACAATCCTGAGGACAAATGTGGAGCAGGCAGACAGGCACTCAGCTTACTTGGACTGTAGATGTCAGGTGATTCGGAGGAGGTTTTCGTACTGGGCAAAGAGATTGGCTCCCCGTCCTTTGTGGAGACCCGAAAGCTCCTCATCACCTTCCAGGTACAGAACCTGTATGAGAAATACTGAAGACAGCAAACCTCCAAGCAGACACCTACAGCTGAACTCCTGAGGAGTGTCTGATCTGCATTTTCATCATGTCAGAGGAACAGGTGGCTGGAGAAGGTGGCTGGCATCCACAGAGCCTGCCCCACCTTGGGAGAGAGGGGATAGGTACCTTCTCCAGAAGTGCATCAGGATGGGGAAGATGATGACCTTGGCCCTGTGGTAGAGGACATGGTTCAGTAGCCCATTGGAAGATAAACTCCAGATTAAATCTCTCTCTTCTTCAGAGATGTTTACCTGGCCGGAGAAGAGACCTTGCTTAACCAAAGCAGTCTGTCCCACTCCTAATGGGCCCTAGAGGAGTATTTATTTCCCTGACCCCACCTTGCATTTCCGAGTCTCTAAGAAGAAATACTTAGTTACATCCTGGCTGACTGTCCCAGATACAAGGGCAGGATCCACCCTGGATTTCTGTGGAAAGCACTGTGCTATGCTTTCCAGAGGGAAGATAGGCAGAGCCATGGCTACTGCAAGGGGAAGAGGTGGGTGCAGTGGGGAAGGGATGATGGTGGCATTGACCTCTGGAGAGTGAAAGGAACAAACTGGTGCTGTGCAGCACCCATCCTCGTACTTCAGCCCTGGCATTTCTCCAGCAGGTAGGGGATTTCACCATCTCCTTGTCCATGAACTTGTTCTCAATCTATCTGGGTCAAGTGCTAACGTGGGTCTGGTCGTGGATCACTTCCCATCCCCTGGAGCCTAGGTGGAGGTCCCAAGCTCCAGAGCATGCTCTGAAGCTTCACAGCATGCTTTGCTGGAGCAGATCCAAACCTCTGCCTGGTTCCCCTTTCCCCACAGCTGCTTGCAGCTGCAATGCAATGGTCTTGAGCAATGAGCAGTCAGCAGCCTTCAGCCTTCCTGGGTGGGTCCCAGCATCTTACCCGCAATTTGGGGGGAATATCAGAGTTCAGGAAGAGTTTGCTGATGATGGCAACCTTCCTTTTGAGAAAGGCAACTTCCTTTTCTGACTGCATGTTGCGAGCTGCCAGAGCTTCAACTGAATCAGCCAGCCTGGAAAACCTGCAAAGGCACATGGGGTCTTGCCCTGAGACAAGTGCTCTGACTGCTAGGCTAGACAAAGACATGTTCTGTCTTAGCTCTGTATTTACTAGGTCAGAAAAAGCAATCCATGAGGTGTGGAACAGTGAAAGGGGTGGGATGAAAAGCCATTTCCCTCTTCTGTTGCCCTTGTGGTCATGGCATTCACCTGGAGTATGTGATGTTTGCCCATCTTCAGGAAACAGGCAAATCAAAACCTGGTCTCATGTATGTGGTGGTGTGCTGACTGCAGGGCAGTTGTGTGTTGGCCATGGCTTGCTCTTACGGGTTTGCCAGGCAACTGGACAAAGTCAATGGAGAAATGCCACAACTGGCACATCAAGAAAGGTGTAGGCAAAATGTTAGCCTGCTTGGGACTATCAAACAAGAAGTACTTCTGGGATACTCAAACAGGAACGCTTAGCTAGGGGACTTTTTCTGACTGAAATTGAGGGTTTGGGGGGCTCCAGGGGCAGGTAACCATGAGCAGATTAGGTGTAGACAGCTATGGGGTGAGACTTTGGTTGCATTGTATGCTGCAGTGTGATGTCCAGATAGTAGCCTTGTATAGAGGTGCTGATAGCAGTTTAAGGGTGGCAGCACAGACCTCAGTGTGTGCTAACGAATCCATGGTCTGGGCTTTATCCCCCGCTGAGAGACGGGCACTACCCCCAGGATGGGAGACTGGTAGTGCCTGAGCACCCGGTGGAAAGAGAACTTACTTGTCGATCTCTAGATAAAAGCGGAGGTCGTTGACGAGAAAGTTGACTGTAACGAGCTGGCTGTTAAACAGGTGACGTTTCACTAGTACCATCTCCTTGTCTGGTGGGGTGCTGGCAGAGGCCGTGTCGGGGTGGAAATTGCTCACGGTACTGCTGCTTTTCATCAAGCTGATGGGCAAGTCTGAGAGAGGGGAAGAGCTGTTGTGTTCTGCTTCTCCCAGCACTGGGTTTGAGGCCAGCTGGGCATCTGATGCTGAGCTATACCCTGCTCCTTCACGTCGCCTGTGCTTCCTTTAGCTGCACACAAGTAATTTGCTGAGGGTCTTTCTGCCTGAGTGGACTACAGCCTTTCTGCAGCCAGGCTCTCCAGGGAATTCAGACCATCCAGTGTGCAGCCTTCCCTCTAGCTTAGTAACCTTCTCCATCCATTCTCCTCTTTGTACCCATGGAGTGCTTATGTTACTGCTTTTCCAGCCTCCTCTCAAATCTGTGTGTGAGCTTTCAGGATCCACATCCTTTGGCATAGCTCAGTTCGCTGTTTCCTTTTGTTTATTTTTTCGCCTGTGCCACCTTAGCTTCATTTACTGCCTCCTGTTTTTGTGGAAGGGATGCAAACTTGCATATACATTATTGCTTGAGAGATGCAATAGCATCATGGGGTGCCTGCATCAGAAATCCAGATATCGCATGAACGTGTATGTGTGCCCATTGCCTGTGTAAAATTCTGGACCTCATCTCCTAGATCCAGCATCTATGTATGCAGATTTCTGCACAGCAATACCTGGCATCCTGAGACACTTGCTTTTCTGGCTTTTTGTACACCTCCAGCAGAGAAAAATAAGCTAGCATACAGGGATGGGAGATAAGCCACACATTTCCTCCATTTATGTCTCTTCCTCAACCCAGGACTGTCTTGGGGAGGGAAGAGAAGGGGTGGCAGGAGTCTAGCCATACTTTCCTCCTCATTTCCTAGTTCCTGATGGAGAAAGACCTCAAACTCCGCACGGCATTTGTCATTGTCCATCTCCCTCCGGAACTTGCAGAGGCTCTTGACGAGGTCACGAATGGCGTGCCAGGCCCACCGCTGCAGAGACACAGCACAGCTCATGTCAGCCAGTAGCACAGTCCTGGGGAGCCAGCCCCGGCTGCAGCAATAGGGTTGCTCTCAGACAGAACCCTCCCGTTTGGACCCAGCACTGTGAGCTGGAGCACCAGAGCCCAGCCTTGGCAGTGAGATTTGTGACCCAACCATCATATTTGCTTTCCGGTATTTTTCAGTTTCACTGGTGGCCACAGGTCATAGTGTGAATCACTTGGCCAGTCCCGGACAAATTTGGTGATGCCTGCATGGAACAGAACTCCAGAGACTGTAAGAGTGAGCCTTTACCTATCAGCTGCTTTTTTGCAGCTCTCCAAATCTGACCCCCCCCCCCCCCCCCCCCCATTTTGTCAGCACCCCTTGACCCCCACCCCCCCCTCACCCCATTATGTCAGCACCACTTGACCCGCAGCACCTCCTCTCTTTCTTGCCTGGAAACATCTTCAATCTGCCAGCAGAGAGGGTCCTTCCTTACCAGCTTGTCTGACCTGAAGTTCCTCATCCTGTGCTGCAAATGAAGGTTGGACTTAGGCATATCGGTTGGGGGAAACAGGTCCTGGTACTCTTTAAACCTGCCAGATGGGAGATCAGAGAGAGAGCGAGCATCAAGGGAAGCCAGACACATGCGGAGGGAAATGGTTTGGTGGAAGGGTGACTAAGTGAGGGGAGCAGCTGACAGGTATAGCCCTGGAGCTGGAGTTTCACTGGACTTCTGTTCCTGGAGGAGGCTGGAGAATGGGATGGGGGGGGTGGATCCCCTCCCTTGGGCCCTTCTTGCATGTAGCAGGCTTGGGAGAGTCTGTCCTGCTTATCTGCAGTATGTTTCCTCCTCCAATCCAGCACTGTGCATGCCCAACAGTGATTTGGTCCCCATGGGACAAGCCCTGCCAGCCTTGCACAGGTAAACGCATCAGCAGCTGCAGCAGCAGTTTTGCTGGGCTGAGGGTCTGGCTGGGATTTTGGTGCACTGGCTGATAGTTCATAAGTATGTTTGTAGCAGTTGCTGTCTGTCACCTTGGGGTGGGATGGATGTTGGGAAGGATGTGTTCGCATAACCACTGGGCTTAAGGAAACAGCTTGACCCAGGTGCTCACCTTCGTTTTTCCATTGCTTTCTGGACAAAGATCTGTGCTGTTATCAACATGAAGGGGCTCACTGCTTTGGCATCATTTATTTCTTTGATGATAGAAGCGTCGCAGTGCAGCTGCTCCTCTGGAAGAGAAGTGTGGTCACTGCTTGCCCCTGCCAGCCTCCCCTGAGCCACCAGGACATCTCTTCCTACCCTCACATCTGCAAGTGGCACCCTGTCCCACCTCGGCCTGCCCTGTCTGCTGTTTGCTGAATTCGGTTGTCTCATCCCTTTTCCTTTCTATACTGTGCTAATTGCACACTTTGGGAGTGAAACTGTGACTCCAAGAGCGTCAAAAGGAGACAAGATAGGGAAAAGCTATTTCTGCCACTGCAGGAATTGCATGTTGTAGGCCTTTGTCAGTAGATCCCGCCAAAGAAGTAGACAACCTTCCTAGAAATGTAAGTGGCAGTGGAAGACCTCAGCAAATAAATGCTCCACTGGATGGGAAAGGAAAACTGGCAGGTCCCTGCAAGAGGATCTAAAATCTGCAACCAGTATCCATCTCAGGGAAGAGGCTTTCATCGTGAATGGAGTAAAGTGCAGGGTGAGAGCACACCTACCAGCTGGGATTTCAGCACAGAAATAATTTCTGACAATGCTGTTAATGAGGAAGCTTTTCCTCTTGGGGTTGGTCTCTGTGACTAGCTTCTCCACAGCTATCCAGAAACGCAGCGGTTTATCTGCATTGCGCTCCTCGAGGAATTGCTTGAAGAACTGCAGGTGGGCAGGGTCATGCAGTACTTTCACAAAGTGCCTGTAGACGAAGAGACACCAGGAGATGTGATCTCTGTACCACCAGTGACCTGGAAAACAGCCAGGACCTCTGTACTTGCTTCTCCAACACGTGAGACACCCCTGAAGAAGAGCTAGAAACATGTGGATGAGTGGTGCATGGGATCTGTGAAGAAAATGGGCCAGTAAAGGTACTGGTGGAGCATAGCTTCCCTTGTCTGTCTTGTCCATAGAATCATAGAATCGTTTAGGTCGGAAAAGGCCTTAAAGGTCACCCTTCACCCAGCTGTTGAGAATCTAGGGGGGATTCTCCTGACAAGCTGTTTCTTTTTTGCCATAGGTGCACGTGCCCAACAGTTTTGCTGCCGTGTATCCAAAGGAGCTGGTCTCGGCCTGAAGAGTCACCCAGGGAGTCATGGCGAAGGCAGGGCTTTGGGTCTGTGAGGGAGACCTCAGAACCTGCAAATGGACTGGGCAGCCCTGCAGAGACCAGGGGAGGGAGACAGGTAAGGCACCTGGAAGGACTGGGAGGAGGAGAAGGTTGTGCTCTAATCTGGCACTTTCTGAGAATAAACAATAATTTGCCACTGGATGGCAGAGAGCTTCATGCATTTGGCCATAGAGAGGGTTTTCTGGAGTGGAAAACCCTTGCCACTTGCAGCTGGTAGATCAGGAGATAATTGATAGATGTAAAGCCAGAGGATAGCTACATTAAAAGATTCAGCAGAGCTTTGGAAAACCAGAGCTGGGAGAGGTCTAGGATTTTGGGTCATTTATGAGGTTAGCAAGCTCTTATTTGAAGATCAGTGGACTGGGTGAATTACTTTCTTTGTTTAAGTGTGGCTCCCAAGACTGACTTTTGCAACAAACAATAAGAGCGGCTCCTCCTCAGGACTTGTACCCTGGTTACCATTCATAGACCAATGTGGAGCTGTACAGACTCATGTCTGGAGTATTTCCAGGAGGTGAGAATTAAGCCACGTGGACATTCACATGGTCAGCGAGTACAGAGATTTAACTGTGGTCACAGGGTGATTTTAAGTGATTTTTCTGGGAATCTGAGAGCTGTCCAGCTGTAGTACAGATGGCATGCCAGGGAGTGATTGTGGATGAAGTGCATGAGACATGCACAAGATGCGAGGAATAAATCTGAGCTCTGGGACTGCAGTGTGTTGAAACATTTTTCTCCTTTCCCCAGTAACTGCAGTTCAGACCCACAGACCACCCGTGTCTACATCTGAGAGGGTCCAATGATGAAGCAGGGAGCAGTGGCACTACAGGGAAGCACTGGGAAAAATTTGCTTCCTGAAAGAGTGGAAGTAGCAAAAATCAGCAAAACCCTGTGCTGCAAGGTGCCAGACCTGGGTCTTCTAGATGGCTTCTCTACTGCAACAGTGGTAGACTTTGTCACGCTTGATTTGTTTTTTCTCACAGGAACAGCACTCTTCTTTCTGTTCTCCGGTTCAACAGCTGTGGGGATAGAACAGGGTTGGCCCCTTTCTCAGGGGTCAGAGCCTGCTCACAGGTGTCCTCAAGAAAAAGGACCCCAAAGAAAGCCAAACTGTCCCCAGAGCCACCATGCTGATGTCTGCACAGTGAGCCTGGCTCAGGAAACACTGAGTGCTGTGGGAACTCTTTGTGTCTGCATGATTTGACCTCCTTGGCATCTGCTTCAGAGAAGCCCTCCCACTCCCACCCTCTCTGGCTGGATTAAGACCCCAAACCAGATGCCTTTTGAAGGTGGCTAGGCCTCTCTCTCCTGGAGATGTTCTACTGGGTGATGGGATGCAAGCAGGGAAGGCCTCTGCTTGTCCAGTCCCCTAAGGGTATACTGGAGCACCTCCAAGGGCGTGAAAGTTGGGGGCCCACCCTGCTTCTAGCCTGCTCAGACTGGACTCACCAAATGATGGGCTTTTAAGATGCAGGAGCTCCTTTTCCTTGCTTGGGCTACCGACAGCCAGTGAGGGTTTCTGAACAGCCAGCACATTGGACATAATCTTCTGGGAGCCTGCATCAGATAGAGAAGCCAGGACAGATCCAATGTTCATTCCTCCTGGCTATGACAGCCCTTCAGCACTTGCTCTGAGTACTGTAACGTGACTGCTGTTCACCTTTCCTTTACCCTTCTCTGTCCTCTTCCCACGACCTACCTGTGACACTGCAATTCTCAGGTATGACTGCGGCCCCACAAGCTACCTAAGGTTAACAGGTGACTGCTGTCACTCTCAATGTACCAGCAAGTGCCCAGAAACTTGATGTCATTCTCAAAAGACGATGTGAGAAGACAAAGCTGAGGTTTTACACCAGCATGGCCAGTCTCAGCGTCCACACGAGAAAGTCAAGATGTGGAAGGGGGGGGTGACAGTAGATGTTGCTGGCTTTGAGTTTCAGTCACTTTGCTGTAGCAAAGTCCAGTGGCCCAGGCCAGTGCAGGGATGTGGCATTTGGTGCCTCTGGTACTGGCAGGAGGGAATTTGGCCCATGAGTCACTGCCAACGACTGGAGTACAGCTCATGGCTCCCAGATATCCTGGCACAAGCCATGATGTCCATGAGCTGTCAGCAATACAGCAATGCACCAAAGCCTGTGTGTTAGGAGCAGTGGTCACTATGGATGCACAAAATGTGCTATATCAGCCTAAGCCAACATGAGCCCTGTCAGAAATTTGGAACCTCCTCTTACCGGTCCTGCACAGGAGAATTTCCACCTCTGTCTGGATGGAGCCCCCTTTCCGGAGGTCCCGAGTAGCAACTAATCGCCAGTGCTCAGAGGAGAGACCTTCCAAGTTCCTCCTGCCATGCAAGGCCTGGGCCAGCTTCAAGGACTCGTTTATTCGCTGGGACAGGAGGAAACATTCATCTTTCCCAACAGCATGGCCTTGCATCTCGGGCATCAGGACATCGCTCTGTGGAGACTACAGTGAGAAGAGCAGAGCTCAATTGTACAGAGCACAGACCCCATCTGTGGAGCTGCTCCCGCACTATGCCTGATGGGCTAGCTGCATGTCCGTGCCTTAGAGTACAAACCTATCGAAGTTAGAGCTCTGCTTTAGCTCTAAACTGTCTGGAAGAAATCTATGTGAGCACAAAGCTTGGCATAGACCTTAAACCTACCTGTGCACCTGCTTAAAGCTGGCTCACATCTGCCTGCAGCTGGGACATACTGGGAACATGCAGCAGGTCCTCCTGGTAGTCCAGACAACAGCTTGCCAGCAAAGGCAGCAGCTTTCCTGAAGAGGTCAACATTCACCCAGGAGGGCTGAAAACAACCCTGAAGGTGTCTACCCCAGCAGACAGGCAACCCCGTGTGCCTTTTCAGTTGGCTGCTATCCCCGGGACTGTCTCTGGCCAGTGCCCTGGGGGTATGTCCCTCACCCCCCAACTGAGACCCTCCTGCGGGTTATGGCCCTCCCCACCGGCAAGCAGTTTGCACGACTCTCCAAGCAGCAGCGTCAGAGTGGCTGGTTCCTGACCGAGATACATGCTGCTGAGAGCAAGCACCAAAAATAACCCTGCCAACGCCCTGAGCAGTTCCCCTGACATCAGTGCTGGGAGACCCGGGAGGAATTTGGCTTAGGGGATGGTGCCTGCGGAGAGCATGCCTTGACACCTGCTGAAGTGCTAATTGCACTCCCAGACCAGGTCTGTGCTCTGAGGGGTAATTTCATTGACAGGAGACGCTTAAAAACCTGGGTAGCTAATTAACTTACAGCTAAGACCATTTAATGAATCAGGGTCAGGAGCTGCCAGCTGACTTTTCCAAAATGCTCAGCTCTTGCTGACTGAGATACTGCCATCTCTGTGAGCCAGGTCTTTGGGGGCACTAGTCCTGACAGCCTCTCCTTAACATTTCCAGGATCAGCTGCTGATTCCACATTGCAGTTTAGGGAAAAGCCCAATGGTTGGTTTGAAGAACACTGCAATGAGCAAAATGGCCTGCATAGGTTGTGCAGGGCCCCAAGCAGGTGGGATGTTCAGAGGTTTCTGTCTGCGAGGAGGTTTCCTGGTGTAAGGCTAGCATTTAGGGTGTTAATAAACATGAGGTATTAGTGGGATTTCTGCTGACAGGAGGGCCAATAGTCCGGGAAGATGACTGCTTGTGTGACTCCACTTTCTTAAATCATCCTTTTACACAGTGGAAAAAAATATGTGGAAAATTTGAGTGCGGTTGAATCATAGGCTGAAAGGCTGCACACTCTCTTCCCCCAGTGTGTTGGCCAGGTGCTCGTGCTGGGATAGGGACATACGCATGTGTGTCTGCACATGAGTCACATTAACAGCAATATTCGCTGTGGGCCAGGAAAAAAGAAGTGTTTTGCCCATGAAGCAGTTACCCAGGGCACTGTCTGCTGCTGGCCACACCCCTGCCAACCCTGGAAGACTGCTCCCTGTTTTGGGCTAGGTCATGGCCTGTCTCAGCAGAGCTCTGGCAGGGCATGCCTGTAGCGCTGCTGACCAACAGGATGTTGTGGAGGAAGAACTGCGGATTGTTGCTCCGGGCAGCTGAGGCAGGGAAGGCTCTGCCACATCCCCCTGCAGCAGCACTGACTGGGGGACACCATGCAATGCTGGACCACTGCAGCTAATGCTGGGCTTCTCCTCCCTCCCTCTCTCCAACTTTTCACATCCCCCTTGGTGCCTGCACACCTCACAAGGGTGCCCGTGTCCCCTGTGCATCCCCTTTACCATAAACTGGAAGAATGTCCTGTCATCATCAGCCAGAAATTCCTCATAGAAGCTGCAGAGCACCTGAGGAGGAGCAAAGGTAGGTTGTCTTCAGTCAATGCTCCAGCAGCAACTGCCACCCCCCAGACCTGTTGTACCCTGAGGTCGCAGTGGTGACGCTGTGGGCAGGTTACACCTCACTGAGACACCCAGGACAGGTCTGCCAGGAGATGTACACCCAGGTTACTCCATTGGCCTGCTCAGAGGCTGTCCAAAAGGGCTTGGGTTGTAAATGTGTTTTACTCATGTTTGCTGGAACCAGTGATCCAGATGCAAAAGGATGGCCACTGCCCTGCCATCCCTTGGCCCTTGGCATATGCATCTTACAACTGAGGTCACCAGCTGCTAAATGACTGCTCACCTCTGCTCCACTGCCCAGCAAACCAGTAAGGATAGTATCCACTGACCTGGTGCATCTTGGTCACTGTTTCCAGTGCAAGGTGGCTTGCAACTGTAAGTTCTTCCCTTCCTAATCTCTTTTCATTTTAATTTTCCAAACACCTCTCTTCTTAAACATGCCCGCAGCCCTCATACCAGCCTAGGGGTGCCAATGCCAGCTGTACCTCCCAGCCTGACCACTGCCAGTACCACTCTGTACCTTGCAAATCTCCTTCTGGGCTCTGAATATCCAGGGGGAGAATTCTCCAGACATCAGATGGTTCTGCAAGCTCCTGAGAGTCCTGGTCTCCAATGGAAGCTGCAGAACGGTGCCCTCCTCCAGGTAGGTCTTGCATATCTTCTCGCCAATCAAATGACGCAGGAAGAAACTGTTTTCTCTGCTGGGGTCCAGCACCACGGGCAGAAATTCCTCCAGGTCATGCCACAGGTCCAGGACAAGAGTCTCCATGGGCCGGTTCTGGCACTTCAAGAAGTCCCTGAAGGGCTGTCCCGCACAGGTCTCAGCGCTAAGGGCCCAGGGAAGGAAACTCAAGGTCTCGACTGGCTTTTTCAGGGACGGCAGCTGGACAAGGGGTGCAGAGGAACACAGGTTAGAGAGGACTTTCTCTTCACAGAGGTCTTTCAGATGATGGACCTGCTCTGCATTTGGTCTAGGTCTTTTGGTAGAGGTTGCTCCTCCTTTGTCTCCAAAGGCAGCGTTTGCAGGATGCTCTGACTGCTGAGGAATCAATCCCAAAGCATCCTTATCCAGACGTGATTCCTTTGTGCTCCCAGCTGGCCCTGGCTGCCTTTCTGGTTGCACCTGGAAACTTGGCATCTTCAGTTCTTGGGTGTTTCTTCCCTCCTTGACCAGAGTCCAGATCTCTGCTTTGGCCTTCCTGCTGCAGTAGGGCCCTGACAAACCCTGGCTCTTTTTAACATGCATCATGAAGAGATTCTCTGAAAAGCCTGAGGGCTCCTGTGAGTTGGCCCATAATAAACGCTCCTGATACTCCTTCAGCAAAGGCCAGCACGATTTCTCTTTTGCCATGCTCATCTTGCAGTGGATGAAGAATTTAGGAAGCCAGTAACTCTGAATCATACAAAGGGCTCGTTCCTGCATCTTTCTCAGGATCTCCCTCCTGGTGCTGATGGGCTGAACATGCCTGGCTTTCGGCAGTGACCCTGAAAAGGATGTAGGGGATTATGATGCGGGGGCTGGCTCCATCCAGACCTGTTTGTGCCAGAGGAGTTCCCCAGCCAAGCAAAGCTGGTGATGGAATCCCATCTTCCTGGGAGCATCCAGAAAGTCCAGCTCTCTGGAAGGGCACCACTCATCCCCAGTTCCCATGTTTCTTACCAACAATGGTCCTGCAGAGAGTGACAATGGTGGAGCCTTCACGCAGGTGAGTGGCTTTCAGCCTGTGAAGCAAGGACAGGTAGAGGTCCCTCTGCCTCGCGTCCGACTCGTCAAGCCCCAGGAGCCTTTCGGTGGTGAGCCAGAAGCTGGTCAGTTCTTCCCCTATGGATCAGACAAGGGACAGAAGTTGGAGTGAGTCCCTGAAAGCCCCCTGATGAGCAAAGCAGCCTGTGTTTTTTAAAAAAGAAAGAAGGAAAGACGTCCTGGATGAACTGAGGGAACAGTGTAGAGAAGAGCCGGGGTTATGCATCTTCCCAGTGTGCAGTGCCCACGCTGGGGCTCTGCTGCTGGCTCATCTTCCAAAGCCATGTCTGTGATCATGATATCTACTGTCCCACCAGTGCTTACCCATGCCCCCAGCTCTGCGCCAGTGTCCCACTGGGCAGCTGGCCTGCAGCTGGCTGAGAAGGGGCTGTGGAGCGCCCTGTGCCCACCTGTCATTCCTTGGACAAAGGCCCGAAAGTGCCACATGCCCTGGCTCCCGCTGATGCACTTCTCCAGCAGCCACCGGTCAGCGCTTTGCCAGTTCAGCAGTTTTGCTGTCAGAGAGAGAGTACGGAGCATGGCATCGGGGGATGCATGCAGGAGCAGCCCCCAAGAAAGCCCTCCAGACCCCATCAGCATCCCCAACAGAGGCTGCCAGAGGGCAGCAGTGCTGTGATCCAGGAGACCAGCAAATCACACTGAAATGGGAGTTTTGGACAGGATTGTGGGATGCATGTGTGTTGTTTGCATGGATGCAGTACAACCCACTTATGTCATGACAGTCTGCCCAGCTATTGTGTCTCTTCCCCTTGCAAATGTCCATTATTTTTCCTGCGTTTGGGGCTTGCCCTCAGTTTCCTTCAGCTTGATGTAAATCCTGACTGGAGAAGAAGCAGCAATGCATTCAGAAATGGCACTGGAGCAAGCCTCAATGAATTGCTTATTTTTCTGAAATGAAAATCTGAATCCCTGCTGCCATAGCTTTCTTTCCAGTGGCTTTCCCTTGCATTGACATGCAGGCTGACAAAGCAGTTGGCTGGGCTGAGATGGCTCATTTTAGGGGAAAACTGAGCACAATTCAGATTTGCTGCTGGTAGGACAGACCATGGCATAGGCCTATTTTCCCAGCGTAGGATGTGTCAGACAAGCAGCATATTGCAATACAGTGCAAGGGCTCTGGGCACCCTTCATAGCAGCAAACCTGAAACACCAGGACCCCAGTTTCCTATGCCCGAGGTTGCTCTTCAGCCCCGCTCCACCCATGAACTGCGTGGTAAACCCTGCTAAGCAGCTATTCAGCTCAACTCCACAAAGTCAGTGAGCCTGTACGAACAAGGCTGTGGGGCAAAGCCCTGCTCATCTCATGGAAACCCTGGGATCTGCTACATCCCTAAAAACGGGATGTGCAATGCCTTTTTAACCCGAAGCAGAGGCACGACCCGCTGGGCAGGCACCAGGCAGTGACAGCCCCAGCAAGAGGAAGCCCTGCTGCAGTGGCGAAGCCGCTCTGATTTCCTCCGTGCCACGATGACTCACCTGCTTCCCCCGACCGAATGAAGCCCAGGAGCTTCTGGCAGAGGACGAGATTGAGGCACAGGCTGGATTTGCAGAAGTGAGGCAGGCGGGGCTTTTCCAGCCAAGCCAGTAAAGCCGGGGGGCTGGGATCCTGCGTTGCAAACCCCACGCCCAAGGAGAGGATTAGGCCGTGAGCAAGGAGCCGTCTCTTGCCTGGGGATTAGGGTGAGTAACGGGCCCTTGCTATGGGGGAAGGAGGCAGGGAAGGCACCCTGTTGCTAGACGGCGATGCAAGCCATCCCCATACTGAGAAAGAAAGGGGGTCACTTGAGCTATAGCCCCTGCCTGCATCCCCGCGAGCTCTGCCTGCAAACCTGGGAGACCCAGCAATGCATGGCTGCCTGCAAGGCTGCCTCTCCTCACAGCCTGCCTGCTCTGCTCTCCCGGAGCCCACGCAGGAAGGCACAGCAGCTTTCCAGCAGCACCGAGGAGCAGGTTCCCTTTTGCTGTGGGATCCGAACACCGCAAACGACGCTCGTGGCTGCGGGGAAGGGGGGTGCCTGTGGGGAGGGCTGAGCCAGTTTGAGGATCACTAGGACTTCACTCCTGGTGAATTCAGGAGGAATACAGGACACAAGGGGCTGACATTCGTGTCCTCCTTCTCTACCACCACACATGCTCTCCTTAAGTCCAGCTGTTGATGTTTACTGAGGGCTGCATGGACCCCATAAGCTGCACCAGGACTTTAAATGGCTTATGCTCCTCCCGGGGCTTAAAAGCAAAATGACGCCTGGGTTTGAAATAATCCACCAGCTGCATGAATAGGAGAGCCAGAGAGTGGCATTGGCAATGAGACACCATCTCCTTCCCTCCCCTGCCCTGTGCCCTTCCTTCCTCCTCCTCACCCTCCTCCTTCCTTGTGAGGGGCATTTTCTCACCAGGTAGCTCGTCAGCTCTGGCCAGAATTCCCACCGGCCCGTGCTGCTGATGTAAATGGGTGTCTGGCCAAAAACCTGTATCAAAAGGAAGTGTGAGAGCTGAAAGAGATGGAGGGTGGCAGGGGAGCCCAGAGCCCAGCTGTTCCAGTCAGTCTTTACTATGGAGAAGGGCATTGTCTTCCCTTTCAGACACCTATCTCCAAGCTGAGGTTCTCAGGTTTCCCTCATTTTCCAGCCTGTGTGTGGTGTATTCCCAGTCTTCCTGGGGCCTCTAACACCACAGAAGCTGAAAGTTCACCTGAGAAGAGCTCAGAAAGGTCTGAGGCTTTATGGTGCAGAGTGGACTTACGGGAAGATTCAGAAATGTGTTGAAAAAGTTGACAAAAACATCATCTCTCAGCAGAAGTCCCATGTCCGTGGAGGCTATGATTGCTACAAGGAGAAGAGAAAGTTACCTAGGATTTGTGTTGCCAAGTGTGATATAAATGTGAACCAAAGGGGTGAGTTTTGGACAGCTCTAGAGGATATGAGGTATGGGCTTGTCCTGTGCACACACAGGAGGGTTTGGATCTGGGACAGTCCATGAAATTTGGGTCCCAGTGTACCCATGTGTTCTGGGTGGATGGCACAGGGTGTTTGGAAAGCACCAGGTTCAGCTGCACGCAGGAGCTAGAAAGGCAGTTTCCTAAATAGCAAAGGTACATGGTTCATGGAGGCTGGGCAGAAATGCAGTGGCATCTGTTGGGCAGGAGAAGAGAGATGCTGTGGCTGGAGGGGACAAGCTGTGTTCCTCCACCTTACCCAGACAGCAGGCATAACCCTGCTATCACGGAGAGGAAGCGTGTGCTGTGCTCTGGTGCTGCTGCTGCAGCCCCACTGCCTTGGTGCCCTCTGAGTCCTCTCGCTCAGGTTCTGGCAGCAAACTCCCCCAAATTAGCAGGTACCATCAGGCTGGGGGCAGGCTGTGACTCTGGGTAGAGTGACAATCACTGCAGACCCCCACCCCATCCACCCAGGACATCAAGGCAGCGTGCCAGTAGTGCCCAACACCTCCCACTATCCTGTGAAGTTTTAGTCCTGTCTGAAAGATGTGGATGCAAGGGAGTGGGCTGCCATCAGCCTACTGATGGGTGGATGCCCTTGGAAATGTCCCTATGCCTGAAGGCACAGCTGTGTCACAGGGAGGACCCACATTTCAGAAGCCTAACGCTGCTTTTTTCCCCTCTGTCCTCTTTGGGGTGTGCTTAGAGGGGCTGAAACCTCCAGCCAAGGGAACTCACCAGCGGCCGTC